GCCTTTCATAACCATACCAGTTAAATATAGCAGTGTGTTTTTATGCTTCTCTGATGCTGTTCTTTCTTGCACCAGTCATTTACTTTTTACCTACCAAATCTGTAGGAGAAGCTGCTGTTTCAGATTCACTAAACTGAGAATTGAAACCTCCCACTTCCTCAGCAGATATGTTTGTGTGTGCTCATGTAGATAAATGTATATAAACGCCCAAAGCATGTGCTGAGTCTTTGGGCACGTGAAGAGTGAGGAGTGGTGATATCTGTATATATAACATTGCCTTGAGGAATCATAATGAGATATATTGCAGTAAGGTGTCCTGTTTTCTGCCTGCCCTCTTAAACAGTTTGTGCTTCTTCCAGCTACTGTTCACCCCAACTTCCAGCCCCACTTCTTGGGGCAATGGGAGGTAGGAAAGTTTGGATAAATTTGCTTCACTCATACCCTTTGCATTGCAATGCCTGGTGTTAAATAGGTCATTTAACTATCTCATTGCAGTTTTATTGATTAACCTTTCTCTCCCAGACATACTGCACTAGATATTTCATATTGGTGAGTCTTGCAGATTATCTTCTAAAGTGATCCCTTACCTCTTCCAGCACTGAAAACATTACCCAAAGAAATCACAGAGATCCAAATTCAGAAATTATTTTATTGATCCTTAACCCAGGAAATATATAGGGCCTTTTATTAGATGCCATCGCAATCTAGTGGTGCCAGAAGGAGTTTTGTACATGTGCCCCCATAAACGAGACTAAAATGGGATTTTTTTTGGCTATGATATTCCTTATGTGTTAGATCTGGTGTATCTAGTATCATCACCATTGTTCAACACTCCACAAAACAGCAATTTTAGTGAATTCTAAGCTGCACTGGACTCATAGAGGATGAATGTGGTTTCCTTCAGTGGATATGAACACAGATGTATGAGTTGTTTTGGAAAATTTAAGGAAAACTATTGAGATAGAGAGGTCTGTTTGTTGTGGGGGTTCTTTCCTTTTTTTCCATTACATGACTATGTCTGTCCCCTGCTCCTCCTTTTTTATCAGTGACCAGTTTATCACATGTCCCATCATAAACATGGCCAACCACTGGGCTGCTGCTTCCAGAGGAAATGTCTTCATGTACCATGTACCTGAGAGCTCCTCACAGAGCAGGTAAGGAGACAGATTTTATTATGCTTATTGGATTTAGAGTTTGTAAAACCAGAGCTGACTGTTTGGGTGTGCTGTGGAATGAATGAATAGATGTAGGTACCTCAAATAAAGAGTTCAGATGATCAAAAGAGGGATTGGTTCCTAATAGATTATTTCTCTAACTATATAGAAATGCTTTTTCTGAACTGAGGCACTTCCCATTAGATGTCTAAATTAAGTTTCCCCTTTCCAACTTACCTACCTTTGCCAGTTCCAGATAGCCTTTCAGATTCCTATGCTGCATCTGATAAATCTACAAAAAGACAGAATGTGGTCTAAGTCATCAGGTGTCCACAACTCTCAAGATAATAGCATAACATTTTCTAAGAACTCCACATTATTTTAACACTGATCCCTTTTGAGGTCAGTGCAGTTGTACCCCAGTTACACTGTCTGGCCTTCAGTGTGGATGGGTTCTGAGATTTATTCCTTCCTGCTCTAGCACTGTGACCGATGATCTGCTGACAGACTGTCTTATGGGAGGAAAAATATGTTTGAACACAAGCATTTGCAGATTGTGTCATCCTTCATGTTAGGAGCTTACTTGAAAAATTTTCATCAGGACAAGCTGCACTGTATTTTAGACAGAAAGGTATAAATGACTGTGGGAGACAAAAATGTCTTGTTCACTTTGGCACAGAACAAGCTGACAGACAGAGGCCTTTAAAGTTACCTTCCCTGGTTTTTCTTTCGACTCAGCCCCTTCCAGTGAGTGACCAGAAACTGCGACACAGTCACCACTCCTGTCCCTGGATCCACACGTCAGGGCAGCAAAGTACACAGGGATGCTTCTCCTTATACTATTTCCTTATGAGGAAGCTGTGCTTGTCTCCTGCTCCTTGTACTGGTCCATATCTCTCTTCAGGAAAGACTTTTGAGACCCTTTCCTTTTTCTCAGTCTGTCTCCAGAAGGGCTCAGGGGAGGGACAACGTGTTCCTACTGTCACCATTTGATCCTGTAAAGCTTTGCCGTGCAGGTTTTTTCCTTTCCTGATAGCATAGTGAAAAAGCATTTGAAAGAATCCAGCCCAGATCTAGGTTACAGATGAAGGCCATTATGCTGCAGTAACACTGGCTTGCTTTCTTTTTAGCTGAGAAGTTAATCCTCAGGGAGACATTATTTTGCTGGCAGCTCCAGCGGGAATGTTCGCAGTGCTCCATTTGGCTACTGATAGACCCAGATAAGTGACTTTTACAAGGATCCAAACAGGGCTGAGCTATGGTATGCCAAAAATCCAGCCACACAAAAAGAAAAGATGTGCTCTCAAATTAGCTAACAAGTTTTCTCTTGCTTTGAAGAGTGATAGTGACCCACTCATCTACGATTAGACCTTATTTGAAAGTAGATGAAATAGCAGCTATATAACTTAGACCCACTGTTTTGAGGCAGTAATTTTGAGTTGATGAGAATTTCCTCTTGTATCTAGCCCTATTTAAGATTTCTCTTGTGCTTGTTTTATTTAGCTCTCCTCACACTCTCCAGTGCAGTATTGGTTTACATAGCACTTGGCTACACATTGTAATAATATTTGTATTGACACTGGCCTTCTAAGCTAATTACTTTAAACCTTAGTACAAAACTTATTGGTTTGCTTTTTCATAACCCTCTTTAAAAGAACAAACAAAGCCAGCATACTGTCTGAAACCTGTGGGAATGTAAAGCAGAGGCTCAAATGTCTTAACTTAAGCCACTTGTAAGGAGAAATGGCCCAAATTGATATGCTGCATGACATTCTTATACTTTTCATCTTTATTTATTCTTAAGTACCATTGAAATAAATGCTGTTTAGGTTGCAAATGCAATCACTTATACAGAAATTGCAGAATTCAACCTGCCTGTGTATGGAAGGATCTCATTTGACAGTACAATGTGGCTATTTATGAAGTGATACCCTTGATTTCCCAAGGGACACTAACTCCTCTGCTGAATACACGACAAGTATTTTGTTTAAATATTGCTGTCATTCATTCCTAAATGAATCTTTGTTCTTCATCCCAGTTTTGCCATGTTGCCTCTCTCCCTCCCCCTCTCTAGAGCATTGCCCCCTCCATATAGTGTAGGTGCATTGCAGGCTGTCCAGCAGCCTCACTGCATGCCAATGAATTGATGATGTTGAGGGTAGGAGCTTCACAGGAGAGTGACCTTAATTGCTAAAAACTGGGAAATCATGAGTAATCTGAATCAGCAAAGCACAGTATTTGGGAAGATTATTGGTGATTTATCCTACCAGATTAAAACCAATGATGTACATAGAATCATAGAATCATCAAGTTTGGGAGGGATCTTCAAGATCATCCAGTCCCACCTTCCACCTAGCACTACCACTGTAACCCCTAAGGCACTAAACCATAGTCCCAGATCCAGTTGCCTCTTGAACACCTCCAGGGATGATAAAGGGTGATGGTACATGAAATAGCCTTCAAGTAGAATATATAAGCTAATGTTGGGGAAAGATCTGGCAACCATGTCACTAACTCCCAAGGGATATCCCTAACCACTGGAATTGAGTCCTGTCAGGACTGTTAGTTCTGAAGTTATTGTTTGAAAACTGTGACTGTTGGGAGAAGGAGCAGAGGCAAATGCTCTGCCAAGTAACCTACATCTTAGGCTGGAAGGTGGGATGCATGGGTTTGAACTTGCTCAGCAGCAGCAATAATTGAGTCTGGGACCCTGAAAACACTCTATTAAATTCTTGACTGGAAGAACCCAGTTACAGCCATTTCTTCATGTTAACAAATGCAATAACCAAAGTGTGATTTACACATGGTAATCGTGTACAGGATATTCTGTGAGTATACATACTGGATTAGATCCCCTTCAGTGCACTGTAGCTGGAGGAATTCCTCATTAAATATTCCTGATCACTTAACAGGCTTTTAACATAAAAAAATGATTTCTCAGTCAGTTCGATATTGAACCACATACAGGTTTGCTGAGATACAGACCTTCACTTCCAAAAATGGAAATTTTTGTAGTTCTATGTCCATAAGGTAACATAAAAGATAAAATAATGTGGGGTTTTTTTACTATGGTTCCTAAGAAATCTGTTTAGACAAGATATGGACCTTTGCCTGTTTGTGTTTTCTATCTGTATCATAAAGATAATGATAATATAATTGTATATTATCTATAATAATTACTAATAGTTACCTCACTGGGGTATTGGAGAGTACATTAAAATAATATTGTGTTCAGATAACTACAACAGTGGAAGACTATTTACTCTTAGATAAAATATTCTGGCTGGGGAAATAACCATTCACTAGTTAAGATAAAGCACTGTATAGCAACACATTCTTCAATTTCTGCTTTGTCACCTCTCTCCTACTTTATGTGTCTTCCAAAATGTGTAACAGAACAGAGAGTTAAAATGCAGGGATGAAAAAGTACTGGTATTTCCTCTTGTTTCACATGGAGCAGTCCCTTAATAACTCACAGCAAGATAAACAAGAGGGAGAGAGAAGTCAGCCAGTAAAGACAGACCCAACTGCAATGATGCAAAGTAGACAAAAGGTTATTAGACAGGAAGGAATTTTTAGCAGTAAAAAAGTCAATTAGCCAAAGTTTGTCTCACAACTGGATGGTTCTAAAATGTATACACACACATTCAAGCATGCACAGATCAAGGGGCAGGGTTAATAAGCCTGCTCTAAACTGATGTCTAGGACATATGTGGAAAATCACATAAAATCATGAACCAACACTTTGTGTATAGATCAATGGATCTTGCAGAGAGCAAACTAATATCTCCTTCCACGTGGTAGCATTCTCCAGAGCTTGGCATGACACTGTGTCTGCTTTAGTCTTCAGTTCCCGTTTGAATAAGGAGCCAACTCCCACATTAATAATCTGTGGTAAAAATATATACATAACCCAGCTGCCATTTTCTCACTCTCTTTTCGAGAACACTTAGGCCTTGGAGTAAACATTTATTCTAAACAATGCAGGAGGAATGTGGCTGCTCAGCACTGCCTAGGATTAGTGGGGAGGGCTGGAGTAAGAACTTTAGTTACAGTAAAGAAATAGGTGATAGGACAAGTATGTTTAGACAAGGATAATATTATTAACCGTATAAAGATTCACCTCATTAACCCTTTAAGTGGTTTCTGGGTGAATTTTATGTATTATATGAAATAGTACTGCTTCCCATGCCAGCATATTTTCCAAGTCACATTGTGGTGCCAAATGTGCTGTCTTAAAGATGGTGGATAAAAATCACTGCTCTGCCCACTGAGAGGGCCAAATCATCAGCTGCAGCAGGAAGGCAAAACATCATTATTGTAATTGAAACTGTCTAAATTGGGACTTAATGAGACCCCATATTACAGTCATTAATGTGACTATAATAATTGTCACAAAAGCTTTTCTTAACTGTTGTGCATGGGACAGATTCATCCAACATTAATGAGCTACTGTCTGTTTTGAGCCATTTTAGTTGGAGGTATCTTTGCCTCCTGACTATGCACTCTTGTGTATGTTGGTGTGATTTAAGAGGCTGCTCCATGCTGATGTTCACATAGTTGAGTGGGTTTTGATGGCACTTCTTACGATGCCTGTAACTAAAGGCAAGAACTCCTGACTGATCAAAAAAATAAAATAGTTGTGTATAAACCCATTGAACTATGTGAAGCACTTTTTGTTTCTATTTATTACATATGCTGTGGTAGTTCCAGCTATTCTTAATATTCCTTTAATTAAGGGAGATTTTTCTAATCTTTTGATTTCATAACAGTTGTATTCCTGTCCTTTAATCCATCCACTACTTGTTGTCCACTTGATGCTCTCCTCCTGCAGCTGTTAGTCCATGAGTACAACACTCCATAGGTTGGGGCCACACTGTGAAGTGGGTGTTTATTAGACAGACAGAAAATTGCATCTCTGGGCTTCAAAGAAACTCATGTATACACAGAGAGAAAGTAAAGCACCAGTGAACTGGTGACAAGAACAAGGTGCACATTGCCTGCACAGCTGAGCAAGAGCCACAATCACCCTAGGTAGCTATATCCACTTGCTGCACCAGCAGCTTGTCATTGTGCTCTATAAAGCTCTACTCCTGATCACCTCCTAAAAGTTTGAATTTTGCTCTTGTTGGAAGTGCCTCTCATCCCTCTAACCTTATCCATTGCATTATACCAGCTTCAGCTATGAAAACACTATCCCATTGATATAACAACATCATACCATTCTCAAGTCTTTGCAAAGTTTCTGTGTTTTGAAATGCTTGAGGTCTGGACAATTTGTTTTTTTCTTCCCATGTAGTGGTTTAGAGGCCTATATCATGCAGTAGACTTTCCAGATATTGTAAATCGGACAAAGAAATTGAAAGGCAAAGTACCCAGCTCAGAAAAAGCAGAAATCAGCTTGAAATGAAACAAAAATTCATCTAAAACATTCAGAAAATTACAAAACAACTCTTGGAGCTGCATGTGCTGCAGTGGGACAGGCTGATCCCATAAGATGTAATCTAGAATATAAACACAAAGTCCATGTATATAGAGCACCAAGTATTCCTTGAGGCTCTGTGGTCTTCAAATGGCCACATCAACCCCTGAGTGCACTCAAGTGTTAGCATGCCTATTGCTAAGTTTTAAATATAGTAATTCCCTGGCAGAATTCTGTAGTTTGTGTTCTTTAGGAGTCCTGACAAGTTGATAAAAGTGCTTTATTACTGCTCTAAGATCTATGATACTATTTTCATTTGTGTTCTTTAGGAGTCCTGACAGGTTGATAAAAGTGCTTTATTCCTGCTCTAAGATCTATGATACTATTTTCAGGTGTTGTGAGCTTTCAGGTTCTTGAGTTTACTATCTGATACTTCAGTTTTATTTTCTTCAATTGGCACAACTATAATGCAAAGTGGAACATTGCGTGTATTGGGAGTAATTCAAGTGGAAAAGACACAGCTAACTCCAGGATACTTTTGCAAGTCACATGTATCTATAGGACTTTTTTGGCACAAATGTGGATAAACTTGGCAGTTTAATCCTGTTAGTACTTCAGTTTTTTCCATATGTCCTGATTTTCCTGAAAAGAAGAAAGAAAGAAAAATGTTCATCTGTTTTTC